TTTTCTATCAATTTTGTTTTCTTGAGATAATTAATTATATAACTTATATCTTTAGAAGTAGAATTTTTTCCTAAATTATCTTGTAAATTTAACTGTAATTTATTTTCTTGTAACCGACTAACTAATTTCCACATCCTGTTTTTCTGTATCGGGCCAAAGGCCTTTGCGGGGTCACATGACCAGCCGGCTCGGGCTGAACCAAACAGGGACAGAGCGGGGGGGGGGGTCTAACCCACTGGGAGAACCCGTTAGTCCTCATTTTGGGTCCAAAAAGGGAAGCAGGCGGCCGTTTTTTTTTAACTGAGGTCGTTCCTGGGCCCAGACCACCATGCCTCCCCCGCCGTGCTGACAGCCTGTTTCTGTTCCTCTGCTGGTTCCTGCGGCTGTGGGCGGCCATGTTGGATCCTGAGGACGGCTGAGGCTCAGATCCAGAGGTTTGGGGCCGTTCTGCTTCCTGTTTCCAGCTTCTGAGTCCACTCTCCGGAGCGTTTGGGGGAAACTTTTGTCAGACTGGATGTTGGATCGGCGATTTGGATCTGTTGATGCAGCTTTGGGGGGAAAGTTGATGATGTTTGAGCTTTTCCAGCCTCTGATGGACCACAGATCTGAATCCTGATGCTCAGGAGCTGGAAACCATCTCATCGGGTCGAAGTTTACAGAAGAAACAGAGTTCCTCTTTGAGTTTGGGCCAAAATAATGCAGTTTTTCTGCTTTAATCTGAGTTCCTCTGTGAGTGTGAGGCAGTTTTTTTGTGACTCAGACTGAGTTTTTCTGTGAGTTTGAACCAAAACGAGGCTGTTTTTCTGCTTTAATCTGAGTTCCTCTGTAATTTGAGCCACAGTGCTGTGGACAGTCTCTCTGTGGACAGATAGGCTCGAATAGTTTGGAAATGAGCTTATAACCTTCAGACTGAGGCACCACATCTCAGTCTTGAATGGTTAGAGGAGGTTTTGCTTTTAGGATTACAGAGCATCTCCCGGGATTTCTTCTGGGCTTTTGGACTACGTGACTTTGTATTACGTGGCTTTGGAAAGCACCTGGCCTTAAAAAGGCTTGAATCAACACAATAGTGTCACCTGAAGCCGTGTCCCTGGGCTGTGATTACACAGTAAAATAATGAAACACCATCTGCTAACAGGCGTGGCGCCGGCAACCAAACACCACCTGGCACCATTATCGATTCCCAGCAAGCAGAACAGAGCACAGAGCAAACAAATAAAGGTCCTTTAAAGCAGTGTTTTTCAACCCCTGGTCCTCGGTACACTAGTGTGCCGTAGAAAATCATCCTATTTCACCTAATTGGTCTAAAAAGATTTTTTGATAAGGAATTAATTATCTGTAAATAATATGCCATTTCTGAGTGTGTGTGCTGTTCTAGTGACTGGTGGAGTAATCATGTAATTATTCCTTATGACTAGATTTTGTACATAATTTTGTATATTGAAGTGGACATGTTAACGCAATTTGAAAGAAGAAATATAAAATATGATAAAAAGACATTTTTGTGTTTATTTGATTCCTATTCAAGACACTTAAGATAAAATAAGAATAACTATAGTGTTACTATAGGCGGCTACAGATTTGTTTGACATTTTTGGTTTGTGGTGTGCCTCGTGATTTTTTCAATGAAAAAATGTACCTTGGGTCAAAAAAGGTTGAAAACCACTGCTTTAAAGGGCTTCAGACACATGAGAAACAGATCCAGAGAAATAAAACGACAACAGAATATTCTGCAATCTGCAATCAAACAAGGTCACAAGTATTAAACATAAACAGATTTCTGGGAATAGAGAAAAAAAGACCAAATACCTGCCTTGTGTTTGTCTGACTGTGGTCTTTTCGTTGGACAGTCTTCTCTTAAAGCAGACGGAGAGCAGAACTACAGCTATCAGGAACCCAGCAGAGGTCACAGCTGCAATGATCCAATAACCTGAAACAGAACCGGACACAGCCAGGAATCAGAACCCAGTTCAAACGGGGGGCCGGTGTTTGTAGTAGGGATGGGAAGGTTTATTAAACCGTGTGAACCGTTGGGTTCTGTCTGGGTTGGGTTCGCGTGTGTTGCGTTCGGTTTACAAATCTGTAGCCGCCTATAGTAACACTATAGTTATTCTTATCTTATCTTAAGTGTCTTGAATAGGAATCAAATAAACACAAAAATGTATTTTTTATCATATTTTATATTTCTTCTTTCAAATTGCACTTAACATGTCCCCTTCAATATACAAAATTATATACAAAATCTAGTCATAAGGAATTATTACATGATTACTCCACCAGTCACTAGAACAGCACAGACCCTCAAAAATGGAAATTATTTGCAGAAAATTAATTCGTTATCAATAATTTTTTTTAGACCAATGAGGTGAAATAGGATGATTTTCTACGGCACACTAGTGTACCGAGGACCAGGGGTTGAAAAACACTGCAATGATGTATCAAATGTCAGACTTCTTTTTTATTTCAGTTTTAACCTGACTATACAAGACATAATAGATTTTCCTAACAATCAACACATACCGAACCGAACCCAAAACCGTGACCACGAAACCGTGAATCGAACCGAACCGTGGGTTTTGTGAACCGTCCCACCCCTAGTCTGGAGGTAAAAGGACTCTTACTGTGTCACATTCTTACAACAAACGCTGGTCTAAATAGCTGACGTACAAGAGCAAGGAAGCATAACTAGGTGTATTATCTTGTAATGTATTATTTT